TAACATTGCAAAGACACAGGACTGGAATCAAAGAAGATGCATCTCGCAAGGTCTCGCCTACGCCTCCGAGGAAGATCAGGCAAGTCAAGTAGCAGTCAGTGACCCATCTCAGCCCTCCAACCATGAACCACCTCAGGGCACATGTCTTTATTCATCTTTGCAGAGAACACTACAGCAACATAACCTTCTGCTTCTGTGATTTTGAGGAGAGGTGCAACTCGGCCTCGACACCATCCTTCACCGTGGCTGCACTGGTTAGCCTGGTCCTCATACACCTTCAATGTATTAATGATGTCTAGCCAGAATGTTCCTCAAGAATTAGTAGAGAGAACTGTGTTTTTTAATTCCTTTGCACAGTTTTGGAAGAGAGGGAAAGTAACTTAATGTTGGAGGGCTTAGCAGCAGCACCATTCGTGTAGGAGGGGTTAAATGAAAAGTTCTCTTATGTACAAGGTAATAACAGAAAACTTGATTATGCTCATGGCCTGCAGATAAAGTGCCAAAAAGAATTTTCTTGAAATGATTACAAAAAGATGCATTGTAAATTAATTTTGTATTGCACTCCTGAAGTTTGAACACTAAAAAGAGATTGATTGATTAATTGATTTTTTTTTTTATAGACATTTATGACTTGTTTATAAAAGTTATATAATGTAAGTGTGAAACCATAATGGTGTGAACAGCTGGTTTTGAAGAAACATAAATCATTGTCAATGTAATGCATCAAATATCCGTCAAATTATTTTAGTAACAAATTATTGTATACTGAATAAAGCATTATATGCCAAAAAGATTACTCAAGACAGAAATTTCCCTTTAGATTGTAAAGAAAGTACCCACTGTTAAAATTGCTGAATCATACTGTGTAGTATAGCATTAATTTGGAATGTGTTTGTCATGTTATGTTTTGGAATGAATTTCAATTACTGTTGGTTGTAGGATTAGGGTTTCTTGATATATACTTGTTCTTTTTCTTATTAATTTCTTTGTATTATTTGATTTTTTCTGATAAGCCTCCTGGGTTTAATCCCAAGTCTCACTTTACAGCCATGTTAAATGTTTCATCATTCCATTAATTTTAATAAGAGCTTGTAGAAGAACGATCTTTACCATTCCATTACAGATTCTATTTTTTACAGTATAGTTTTAAGGTCACACATACTATGAAACCCCCACTTGTTACTCACACAAATAGGTATGAAAAGCTATTTCTTGTGATACTATATTTCATGTTAAGGTTTATAAGCCTCAGTAAAGCCCATACTTGTTATGCAGGCAAGAAATCCGTCCGTGTGTTTTGAAAGTCTCGTACTTGTTTGAAACATATTCCGTCCATCCTGATGCTTTTTGATGTGTGTACAAACTTGGTATCACCAGTGTTGTATCAAGAAAAGAAAGAGGATCTGATTTAGCATGTACAGATATACATGTGGATAATATTATGTAAAGAAAGGCCTTTGTATCATTATAACATTTGCTTTATAAATTTTTCATTTTAAGGAATGAAAAGTTAATTATAAAAATAATAAGGTCTTCAAAAGTTCATTTGTGTGTATATATTTTTTTTGTTATACTGTGGAAACATTCTCTGGGTGAAAGGCTATACAGAGTGAAAGAGTCCTTTGTAAGCACATCCTGCATTTTTGTCAAGCTTTCACAGTTTTTAAGAAAGTTTTGTTTGTATAGAAGTAACTTGAAATTAGTTTTTACAATTTACTTGCATGTGAGTAATTGTAATGAAGGAAAATAATCATTATTATTGTTATTACCAAATATATTAATTTTATAAGTCATGATGTTATCTTCAAGATAAGCCATGGAAGTATTTTACATTATTCAAATTATAAACTATTGTTATTAGGGGGAGAATACATATCAGTATAAGTATGTAATTGAAATTGTACAATGAAGGTAGCATGAATGTGGGTTTCTTATGCAAGGTTTTGTGATGAAAAATATAATGTAGTAAAAAAAATGTAGCTAGTAGAAAGATTATTCTGTCCAATTTTTGTATAAGTAAGGCATAATTATATAGTCATTCCAAATTGCTGTTTTTGGCTAATGTGCAGCCAGTGCATTGCTGTTTGACTGTACTGGGGATTAAATATTTTTCTATTCTCTTGCAGTAAATATCTGACTCCAAATGCATTGTTTGTTTGTTTTTCTCTCTCACCTAATTTCTTTGATGCCAATTTGACAATTTCTGTCTAATTCCTTCTCTTCCTCCTTTTTCTCTTTCCTTTACTTTTATCTCCTAATGCTCTTCTCCTTTTCCCCCTTAGAGACGGAATTGTTCAACGAAGACAGGCGGATGATCTTTTAACCCAATGCTGTCGGGGAAAATGAACAAAAAAATGGGGAAAATACTGTGCCCATTTTCTATGTTTTTCGTGAAATGTCTGCCCATAGATGGCTCTGCTAGTGCCTGATTTGAAATGGCGGGAAAAAAAACATATTTTTCACTAATGCTACCCCCCTAATCCCCCCCAAGCCCTTGCCCGTTGTTGTTGTGGGGGATTAGGAGGCGGAGACTAGGACCCAATGATGGGGAACTCCCCAACCTTGGGACTCAGCCCTCGACTCGACTAATTTTGCATGGTCTTTTTTCCCTTCCTTTTTTGTTTCTGTCCCTTCACCAAACCCTTCTACTATCCACCTCCTAATGTGTGAGAGCCATGCTGAAAGGATGAAAGGCTGACTTTGTGCCAGTCCTGAATGGCCTGAGGGAGCCATGGGCACAGTATTCCCCTGATTTAGTTACCTAGCCCTTACCCCTCAAGGGGACCCTGAGGGGTGGACTGTTTTTATCCCCAACATACTCTAGGCTTACCATGGCCAATCATGAAGACGTAACTCCTCTACTAGGGGCAATGAGGCTTGCCCCTTTATCAAATAGCCCCAGCGATGCAAACCCTCCTGATTCCCTGACCCCAGGCTCTCTTTTGACCATGGCTCCGAACACTGCAAAACAACTACTCCCTCATCAATGCCTACTAGTACAGTAGTCAACAATCAACCCCCAAGAGACATTTCCACTCTCCCAACATGCTCAACTTCAACACCTCTACCTCCACAATCTTCTTCATCAATTACCCCATCCTCCCTTATTAATACCTTACAGCCTTATTGCTCACCTCTCCATAACACTACCTCCCTCAACACTACTCCCTCTTCGTCATGCCCCCGCCCTTCTACTACCCCTATCTCTACAACAATCTTAATTACTCTATTTAGCGCAGCCAAATGGGACCGATCGTGATCCCTCCCACAGCTCCCTACTCTGACAACACCCTTCTCTTCCAACAATGTCTCTTTCCGTAGCCGACCCGACCGCTCCCGTCTCGTCACAGTAACCTCTGAATCCCAAGCTATAGCATTAGCAAAACTAACTGATCTATATGGTAACCCCATCCTTGCAAAACCCCATACAACCCTCAATACTTGCACCGGAATTTTCAATCTCCCCAGCAAATTGCCCAATCTATGACAAAGATTGGTCAGATTGTGGAGAAGACTTACTCGCCTGTCTCACAGACTATGATGCGACATCAGTACAATGCTACTCCATTCCCCCCAGAGGTCATCGAAAGAAACCCATTAACATACCTTCCGTAGACATGACCTTCCCTTTAACGTTTACATAGGTGGAGAATTCCTCCCTGTTCGTCCATACCAACCTCCACGTCAGTGCCAAAATTGTTGGCGTCTAGGACACCCATCTAAACATTGCCGTTCCACAGCCAGATGCCCACTATGTGCCCAACCTGGCCATACTCGATCAAACTGCTCTGCACAATCACGCACATGTGCCAACTGTGGCGGCCCCCATAATGTATTTTATAGGGGCTGTCCCACCTACAAATTTGAATCTGAGGTAGCAACTCTGATTCAAAATTGGACTCGCACTACGTGAAGCCGGACAGGAAGCCG